GACGCCAGAGAGGCCGTCGAGGATGCGCTTGTCGATGACCTCGGTCTTGCCGGTCTCGGGGTTCTTGCGCTTGAGCTTGACGTCGTAGGTGATATCTCTCCATGAGAGGGTGACGGGGTTGATCTGGAGAGTGCTGTATGCGAACGTGTCGGCAGTCGATTTGCCTTTCAACCTGCTGCAGTGTTAGAAGATGAGCTCGAGCAATCACGCAAGGCTTACAGCTCATGTTTGTGTTCCGCGGTGGGAGGAGGAGGTGCAGTATTCGGGACTTGCTGCATGGGTGAGAAGGCAGGGACGCTAGGAGACTCTGGGCTGATGGGGATGGTGTAGGAGGCGCCATCGGAAAAGCCGATACCTCCTTGTAGATGAGCGGCTTGCATGTCAGGCCGCTGCATGGGAAATGAAGCTGCTGTCTCAAAGCTGCTCCCTGAATTGATATTTCGAGCTTTTGACCCTTTCCCTTTGACTACCTCCACAGGTTGATGATGGCTGCTGACAGTCATGGGGTGGGGTAGTCGAGGTGGTTTCAGTTAGTTCCGCTACGTTTCTTGGTCCTAGGTCAGCCCTATGACCCTAAGGTATGATGACGTTACACCTCTGGCTATCACCCTGATAGATTTACTGAGGCGCAAGACCGCAGGGGTGCCAGTGTTCCATTCGGCGTCCCCGAGGTACGGTAGTAAATACTGTTTCATAACAATAGTAAAGAACAACCATGTGGGGACAAGTACTAACTAGAAGTTTTAGTTCAAACGTTGAGTAAAACTTGGCAGCTGATTTCCTTCAAGAGTCGGAAGTTCAGTCACAGTTTCAATTGATCGGACTGGGCCCCGCCCCGGCCCGTGGCAGTCTCACCGTCACTGCCGCCCGAGTCTCGGATGATTACAGCCGTCGGCGGACTCACCAGCCCGTGCTCAGTCACTTGAACTTTCCGAGTGAAGGACACTGACAGTCAGTGATGGCTATCAGGCCCCCGGCCGGGCCCGGCCAGCCCGGTCAACTTGGCAAGCCTCCTCCGAAACTGCCAGGATGGACCGTATTTGCCAAGTTGTGAGGGAGTCACTTGCTCGAGTCTGCGGCGGCGGGCACCCGGTGACCCCGTACCGTAGTACGGTCACGCCGTCACTCGATTGATCTTGAACTTTAAAAGGCTTGATGGATTGACGCTGAGATAGTAAAGTTCAGTCAACAACTAACAATGCCAGTACTGATTGCTTGGGTCAGCCCAGCAGTACCGACGAGGATCTCAGTGGCAGCGGCTGACCATCTGTGATGGCGGGTGAGAGTGCGTGACTGCCGCAGTCATTGATTTGTACCTGCCTCGTGTCACTCTCTGTGATTTCTCCCATGCTCATGTGTTATTCTCTGTGAATCGCCGCGGGGGCTGCAGTACACAACCACCCCTACTAGCATCACGCTTGACAGTACCGGTCCTGATAGAGTTCTGCAGTACCTTGTCAGCGCCCCAGTAGTACTGCTTTGTCAGCAGAAATTCAAATTTGCTAAGACTCGAGGTGGTATCGCAGGTATGACCACCTATGAAGCCAAAGCAAGTGATCCCTGTGGCTATGAGCTATTTGACTTTCCTAGGACATCTGCTACCACCGTCTTGTAGGAAATAATCCAAACCTTTGATTCTGCGACCCAACCCCTGCAATACCTGAGAGGGCAGGAAAAGGTGGGTACTATGATTGGGAAAATATAGGGTAGGAGTGATTTGTCCTACAACAGACCACAGCCACCCCTACCCTCATTTTCGGGGTCAAACTTGAGGTTACCATGGTAGAGAAGGGGGTAGGGTGAAAGAAAGGGGTCAAGCAGCATAAAAGGAACTGCAAACCCTTCGAACAACAAGCGAGCAAGCGAAACGTGGCTTAACGAACATGCAGCGGCCTGACATGCAAGCCGCTCATCTACAAGGAGGTATCGGCTTTTCCGATGGCGCCTCCTACACCATCCCCATCAGCCCAGAGTCTCCTAGCGTCCCTGCCTTCTCACCCATGCAGCAAGTCCCGAATACTGCACCTCCTCCTCCCACCGCGGAACACAAACATGAGCTGTAAGCCTTGCGTGATTGCTCGAGCTCATCTTCTAACACTGCAGCAGGTTGAAAGGCAAATCGACTGCCGACACGTTCGCATACAGCACTCTCCAGATCAACCCCGTCACCCTCTCATGGAGAGATATCACCTACGACGTCAAGCTCAAGCGCAAGAACCCCGAGACCGGCAAGACCGAGGTCATCGACAAGCGCATCCTCGACGGCCTCTCTGGCGTCGTCCGGCCCGGGGAGATGCTCGCCATCTGCGGGCCCTCGGGAGGCGGCAAGACCACCCTGCTCGACGCCATCGCCGGGAGGATCGACCCCAACCGCAAGGGCAGGAAGTTCTCCGGCGACGTGCTGGTCAATGGCAAGGTGCGCGACGAGACGTTCAGCTTGGTGGCGTCGTACGTGCAGCAGGAGTACGCGCTGCAGACGCCCTTCACGGTCAAGGAGACGATGGCATACGCGGCGGACCTGCTCATCCCCCACTCGGAGAGCACAAGGGAGGAGCGGAGGATGCGGGCGGAGAACGTGACGCACGTGCTGGGGCTGGACTCGTGCAACAACACCATCGTAGGAGACGTGTTCCGCAAGGGGCTGAGCGGAGGGCAGCTCCGCCGCCTGTCGATTGCGGTGGAGCTGGTGCGGAACCCCTCCATCCTCCTGCTGGACGAGCCGACGTCAGGCCTCGACTCGGCTGCGGCAGAGAACATCATGCAGCACTTGTCGCACCTGGCCAAGATGGGGACGACGGTGGTGTGCACTATCCACCAGCCTCCGTCAGAGGTGTGGGCCAACTTCGACAAGTTCCTCCTGCTGTCTAGGGGCAAGTGCCTCTACTTCGGGACGGCGAGCACGACGGTGGACTACTTTGCGCGCATGGGGTATCCCTGCCCGAGCCAGTCGAACCCGGCAGACTTCTTCCTGAGGCTGGCCAACACGGACTTCGAGGGTCACGCGGACATCGAGGCGCTCTCGAAAGGCTTCAAGACCCAGCCCGAGGGCATGGCGCTCGCGGCGGGAGTTGCCGCTCCCATCCAGCACGAGATCCATCCACACAAGAAGACCAACGGGTTCCTGGTGCAGCTGATGATTCTGTCGCACCGAGCCTTCTTCAACAACGCGCGTAACCCGGGTATCTTCCTCGTCCGCCTCATCATGTACGCCATGCTGTGCGCGATCATCGGCTTCATGTTTTGGAACCTCCAGCTGGGGCCGTCGGACATCAACAGTCGCATCACCATGCTCTTCTTTGTTGCTGCGTTCCTCACCTTCATGTCGGTGGCGGTGCTGCCCTTCTTCATCGTGGAGCGAGCTGTGTTCCTACGCGAGCGAGCCAACGGCTGGTATGTGGTGCCGGCCTATGTGCTGGCGACGTTCTTCATGTCATTGCCCGGGCTGTTCATGATCGCCCTGCTGAGTACGATCCTGGTGGTGCTGCCGTCGGGGCTCACGGGCTTTGGCATCTTCCTTCTCGACCTCTTCCTTGCGCTGATGGCAGCGGAGGCGTTCATGTGCGTGGTGGCGTCGGTGGTGCCTCACTACATCATCGGGATCGCGCTGGGGGCAGCGGTGTACGGCTTCTTCATGTTGTGCGAGGGCTTCATGAAGATCAAGGACGACATCCCGGACTACTTCATCTGGGGGTACTACATCGCGTTCCACACGTACGTGTTCAGGGCGTTCATGGTGAACGAGTTTGAGAACATCGACTACTTTGTCAACAGCCCGCAGTTTGCGGACGGGAAGGCGGTGCTGAAGTTCTACAACATGGAGGATAAGCCTGTGTGGAAGGACCTACTGATCGTGCTGGGGTATGCGATTGGTCTGCAGCTGATCTTCGGGACGATCCTGCAGGTGTTCCACAAGGGGAAGCGGTGAAGGGGAGGACCAAGGAGCTGGGAAGCTTCTGGTATTTGCAGTCATTGGATCACTGCGAGGATCTCACGGATAAATTTTTCGCTGCAATGTTCATCAGGATTTTTGATTTGGTGCGCTCGTTGCACTTACAGTGATTTCTGGATTTGCATTGTCGTAGATTTAGTTTGTATAATGAACTTTTGATAGCTTGGATTCGGTGTAATTCTCAATCATCGTCAGCCTCGTCAACCGTGTGAAACTTCACCTCCTCTTCTGCCGCCATGTGATTTATCAGATGGATCAATACGGTCATAGATCGGCTACTTCTTGTTTGGTTTTGCTTCTCTCCGTGTGAGTCTCGTCTCGCAGTGCGGTAAGTGCGGCGGTTAACTCAGTGCTGATCTCTCGAGTCTCTCTCACTGGTTTTTGTCTCCAGCCTCGTCTCACTGTGCGGGCACTGCGCCACCTTTACTCAAAGTTAAGTTAAAAATCAGTACGGCGGTCTCACTCAGTCACGCTCAGCGGCACCGGGGCCCGCCGGGGGCCGGCAGTGGGGACATCAACCGAAGAATGGGGGTAGACTTTGACAGCGGTCAAACCTTTCCTCAGGAGTGATTTCCTCAAACCATGCGGGCAGGAGCGAGGTTGCGGCAGGCAGCCAAGAGAGAGAAGGAGAGGATGGAAGCGGAGATGAAAGTCGAGGAGGAGAGGAGGAGGAGAGGTAATCTCATCTCTTTCTCTGAGAGGGCTACACTAATCTCGTCTCTGTCCCAAACAGAAGCTGAGCAGGCGAATTTGCGGGATGCTCGGCTGAAAGAGGAGCAGATGGGGGAGTATGCCTCGATGCTCGAGAAACTGAGACAGAATGAGCGAAGAGAGGACGGTGAGCTTGCCTTGCGCTTGTTGCTGTTAAAGTGACAGCCTCGTCTGCAGTGAGCAAGTGGGGGAGGCTGGTCCAGAAGGTGATGGATATCAAAGGATTGAGGTTAGAGTGACATCGCGCTTCTACACGTGAGTTGTTTGATGAGTCTTCAAGCTTGCGCAGTGTGGCCAAGAGATTTCTATCCATGTCAGCCATGATGTCAAGCTATCACAAGGTCTCCTAGGGTGCCTTGGCATCATTGCTGACTGATCCTCCACCAAGGGAGCTAACGACCTTCTGACGGGGACCAATGATAGTTACGTGAGCGAGGATGAGGACGGTTTGCGGCCACCTGCTTGGCTCTCGCTCTGATTCTCCTCTTCGTCCGCTAGACTTGGACTCTATCCAAGTTCCCTCCCTGTCGGTTGACGTCGCTACCAAACCACCAGCACCGCGGGCGGAAGAGACAAGCTCTCGGCTCGACAAGGTAGGGCTCTGAAAGTGTCATCCGGTGTTGAGGATGCAGCAGGATGAGGCGGAGATGCTCGTGAGGCATGCGCTAGCGATCGAGTACTGAGACCCTCCTTTGGCTCGTTGCTGATCTACGTGAAGGGCAAACACAGAGCGGGAGATTTACAACAAGTGCCGAGACTGGGAGAAGCCGATACCGTACAACGAGGTATGACCTCAAGTTTCAGGCGGATAGATGAAAGGAACAAAGGTGGTTGCTTCTGTGAGAAGAATGTCCACGGGAGCACACGAGCAAGACGGAGCAATGGAGGTGAAGGAGGGGGAGGAGAGTCGAGGACTGATCTGACGTCTTGACTGCTGCAGCTGAATTTGAAAGAATACCTGAAAGTGAACGTGAGCATGAAGCTTTATTCAAGCGAGGAGGAGTCAAAGGTTGTTTCTTGCTTGTTGGCTTTCAGCTGGATCAGTGATTTGTGCCAACCAGGTTGCCGAGCGCAAGCGACGAGCTCTAGAGCAGCTGAGGGGCAGCAACAAAGATCTTCCTCCCCCTCCCCCGCTGCGTTCTCCTCCTCCTCCTCCTTCTGCTGCCGCTTCTTCATCTCATACTCTTTCTTCTCCTCCGGTGATGTCTCCTCCCCCTTCTCCTCCTCTTTCACCAGGTCGGGTTTGAAACATTGCTTTCAACCTTTTGATGTAGTGCTTGCAAAGATCGCAAGGGAGAGGAGGATATGAATTCCCATCAAATGTCAACCGATGCGGATGAGAAGGTGAAAAGAACTGAGGAATGTGCGGCAATGCTGAAATGTCCCAGGACAAGGAGGATACTGAAGTTCATGACGGTAACCTCAACAGAGGAGAATATGCAACAGGGTAGAAAGACAAGGAGGGAGAGGAAGAGAAGGAAGAAGTGAAGAGGGATCAGACATTGGTGGAGAGGATGGAAAGATAGGCTCTCCTCTATGCCCTCTCCTCTCTCTCCTTTCTCCTCTCTCCTCTCTCCTCTCTCCTCTCTCCTCTCTCCTCTCTCCTCTCTCCTTTCTCCTCTCTCCTCTCTCGACTCTCCTCGACTCTCTCCTCTCTCTCCTCTTTGCTCTTGTCCACTGCAACGTCGCTCTATTACTGGGAGAGGGGAGAGGGGAGAGGGGAGGAGAGGAAAGGAAGGTAGCTGAGCGAGTAGTTCTCGCGATCTTCAATTCACTAGCGCTCGGGGAGAAACGAGAGGCCGGGGGTCACCCCATACCGATCTTTGACTGACGCGTTTGACGTTTTTCTTTGCTGATCACCCCACTACAACAGCTGAGAAAGTTGGCACACCGCCTCCACCTGAAGTCCGGGAGGAGTGAGTGGCGGGATGGGCAGCTCTGGAGGCTAACGGCCCTACAGACCTGAAGCTCTTTATGGCGACGAATCTGTTTCCCAGCTCGACACCAGCTACGAGCTGCCATCCTTCTCTCGGGACTCTCCTACTCTTGTAAGCCGCTGCCTCAGCAAATCCCCAGCTGACGTTTACGGATTCCCAGCTGTCCTTGATGGAAGAGCCCCACCAGAAAGAGCCCACCAAGATGCCCAAACGCCTCCCCCCAGATCCTCATCCTCCTCCTCGTGCTCGGCCCTGTCCTCCTCCTCCTCCTCGTCCTCGTCGTCCTCTGCGAGCTCAGGGCAAGACTCTCCCGACGCTCCGGGCTCCTCTGCTCCCGACAGAACGGTGAGGCGTTGGGGAGCATGTGCGGGTGAGTGAGGAAGACGCAGCTTGAAGGAGCAGCCGGGGGTCACCGTCATGTCCATGTCGATTGCGGTGGGAGGGGACCAGGACAAGGAGATGAAGGAATGGAGGAAGGGAGTGTCAGCAGAAATCCTCGTCCTGGAGGAAGAAACTCTCCTCTCTTCCTCCTTCCCCTCCTCCTCCTCGTTGCTAGCCAGCGCCGACAGTCGACATTTGTTGATAGGAGAAGTAACGAAGAGGCGGGAGATCGCAGGCGGCAAGATCAAGGCCGGGGTGAGCTGGAGAGCTTAGCAGGAGGAGGAGGGGTGGTGGGGGGCTGGAGAAGGGGTGGGAGGGGGAGCAGGAGGAGGAAGAATGAATGGGAGGATGGATGAGTGAGAGGAGGAAGAGGCAATCGTGTCAACCGTGTGCAGGAGGGGTCGTGCATGTTTGCGGGGGACAGCAGAGACGGGAGGCAGCTGGAGCTGGTGAGAGAGGTTAAGGATGAGCTGAGAATGTCATGATTTGAGCAGTTCTGGTTGAATCCTTGCACCATCTTCCTGCTGGAGTCACCCAAGATGGTTTGTGTGACGCTGGTGAAGGAGGAGACAGTGCTGGGAGTCTCGTTTGTCTCCGGAAGGAAGTTGATGGAGATGTTGAAGTCACTGACGGTAGGAGGCAGAGAAGAAAGAGAAAGACGTGATGTGATGTGATGTGATGTGATGTGATGTGATGTGATGTGATGTGATGTGATGTGATGTGATGTGATGTGATGTGATGTGATGTGATGTGATGTGATGTGATGTGATGTGATGTGATGTGATGTGATGTGATGTGATGTGATATGATTTGAACTGTTTTTTCTGTCTGCACTCACGAGCTTGCTGGCAGAGAAATAATTCTTTCATTCACGCTGCTGCCATCTGCTCCCTCAAGATCTTCTCTTGTACTGGCAGACAAGTCAGAGATGGCAGGAGACAGCAACTCATGCTCGACCTCACCATCACTCCTTATAGGTCAGCCTCCTGTTCTGTTCCTCCATGCATCTCGCTACCTTCCTTTCTTTTCCTCCCCCTATTCCTCTTGTCATCGCCGCCATCTCGTCTTCTGCTCCCTCCCTCGTCTTCATGTTTCTTTTCTTATGATGATCATATTCATTATCACGGCTTCTTCTTCCTTTTCTTCTTGCTGCTGCTGCTGCTGCTGCTGCTGCTGCTGCTGCTGCTGCACTTCCTCCTGCATTCCTGTCAAACTTTCAATCCACCATTTTGTTTGCATTTTGTTTCCTCCTGCTTTTTATTGTCTGCCTCCTAGCTCAATGTCTTTCTTGTCTTTTATTCATTTGCGTGCTTGCAGGTCTGTCAACTCTAAAGCAGCGAATTCAAAATCTTTGACGGGTAAAGACCCTGAGACAGTAGAGAAGTCAGAGCAAGAGCAAGGAGGAGGGACGGGGAGAGGAGAGAGAGAAAGAAGGAGCGGAAGGTCAGGAGGAGGCAGGAGGGGAAGGGAGGAGAGGAGAAGGCAGTAGAAGCACCGAGCTGTTCTGATGTGTAGTTACAGCAAGGAATGAAGTTCGAAGAGCAAGTGAAAGTTTCGAAGAGATCTCCTCCTCTCCTGCTTACCGCAAGAGCCTCATGGGACCCCTCGCGCCTTGCAAGGCCTGGTAATAAGTAATCCCTGCTGGTGCTGCTCTACTGTGACTTCCATTCTCTTCCAAATCTTGTGTTGCTCAGTCATCTGTTGTCGCTCTTCTCCTCTTCGTCATACCTTTACGTCTTCTCCTCTCCGACTCCTCACAACCCTTCCAGGTCACTTCCCTACACCTCCATCGAGTTTGACGTCAAGTCGGCTGAAGTTATCTTTCAGATCTCTGCCAACGAAAAGTTGAACCCTCCTGCTTCCTATCTCAACTCTTTCCCTCATCTTTGTCTTCCTGTTCTCTTGTCAACTTTCACGCCAGGCAGGGTCTCTGGCGAGGGCCATGGGAGGACATGCAGGTCGTAGAGCAACAGAGCAAGAGCAGCGAGAGCTTTGTGATCCTCCGACCCAAGAGAGTGAGAGGCGATGAAGATGACGATGACAATTACGATGGCGATGGCGATGACGATGGCGATGCTGCTGATCTGCCGCTGATGTTGTTGATGATGCTATTAAAAGTTGTTTTCGTATTCGTCATTGTTGATTTTCATTGTGATGCCGTCCACTTTGTTATAATATTTGAATGCTGCGTGAAGATCCAAGAGAGAAGAATCCATATCTGATGTCTGATGAAACAGATTCCATCAAGCTGGGTTTCAAACTTCGGTCACAACGTCTTTGCAACTTTGAGTCTACGAGTTTGGAGTGACTTCAAGTGAGTTCGAGAAATCACAGTCGACTTTCCTGCTCTGACACGAACAAGACTGAAAGTAGATGATGCAACCGAGAAGAGAAAGATGTGACGTTTGTTGTTTTCTTCGTCATCGTTGCTGAACCTCGACAGGTCGACGAGGCAGGTCAAGCTGAACAAAGTCAGTAAGTTGACACCTGCGCCTCAAATCGTGATTGTCGTCTTGACCAGGCTCAGCAAAACCACGCCAGGGGAGAGGAGCAGCAAGATCAGCATCAGCATCAGCATCATACCACAAACAGGTCAATCATGGCATGGCATGAAGATTGTTGAATGTTTGCAGCTCTCAGCACAATGACGTTGCTCTTCCAAGGCTGAACTTGACTTACAACACAACAGGTAGAGAAAAGTCACAAAGCGAGGTAGAGAAAGAGTCATACAACATGTAGCTGTGGGTCATATAACAACATGTAGCCAAGAGTCATCCTTAGTCGCTGTCTTTTCGTTCTTGACCTGCTGGTTATTTTTAGGGCCTCATCGTGAACATTTCCCAGCTCGTCGGTGAAGCAGCGGAGTTTCTAGAGCCTCTATGACTGTCTTGTAGGAACACCCTAGCTGGGATCCCTACACTGAGGTTCGAGGAGAACTTGGGGGAAGACGGGTCGCCGAAGGCTCCGTTGCTTCTCCCTCCTCCTTGCAGGCCCCACGGGTGATGGAGATGGGACCAGGAAGAGAAGGGGGTGGGGGGGGGGGGGAGAGGGCAGAGAGAAGTTTCAAGAGAAGATCAAAGAGAGGTTTGAATGTACCATCAATATTGAATGAGATTTGAATGTTATTACACTATCAAGTTTGGATCGAAACCAACCCTCTTGTCTCTGTCCAGGCTTCTGATTTCTTGCAGCTCCTGTCATCCTTTCAGTCTTGAAGCATCACACCGAGAGAGAGAGATGCTGCATCCACATTAAATGTCTACTCACTTGTAAGCTGACCACACCTCTGCTGCTGCTGCTGCTGCTGCTGCTGCTGCTGCTGCTGCTGCTGGACCTATTTACGCTTGCACCTGTACCTTCTCCACCTGCACATGTTCCTGCTCCTGCTTCTTCTTCTGATGGTGCTGACTCCCTACACTGCTGGTTCTCTGCTGCTACATCTGCCCCTTCTTCTGCTCAACATACGTGATTGTTCACACCATGCAGGAGGAAGAGAAAAAGAGAACGAGGAGGGTACAGAAAACTTTGATCTCACCTCCTCCGTCAATCTGAAATCAGTTGATTGAAAGTTCTCCTGCAATCTGCAAGGTTGAAGTGACATAGTAGCAATATGCCTTCCTTATTTCTATCAAGTATTCAAGCACTCTCATCCACGTTATGATCATAATCATTTGTCATAGAGCAACCTTGCACTTGATTCGGACTTGACTATTGGCAAGATGTTCTCCTGAAGAAGCCAACGGATGATTACCTAGAGTTTAAAGAGTTAACAAAGCATTGATGGAAAGATCAACATCCTCCTCCTCACGATCAGTTTCATCATCCCTTTCATCACTTCATCAACATCGTTCCCATCAATGCATCGCCATCCTCAAAATTCGATCATGTCTGAATGTGCCTGAGGGACGCTCTTCTTGTATTTGCTTGAGAGCTTGTGCAGCGTGGGGTCTTGCAGGAGTTGTCGGTCACCATGAGCGAGGGGAGACGAGGCATGTACCTGAAAGGTGAAAGAACGAGTGAAATCGATGAAACAAAACTCAACCATGATATGAGAAGAATTGCAACCAGGCAGCAGAGCAGACAGAATCAGAAACAGTGAGCATGACGTGTTCCAGACAGAGAACAGTAAAAGAAGAGCGGTCTCATTCCGAGCGCCAAGACTTACTTGTATGCCTTGCTGCTGGCAGAAACTGCAGGCGAAGAATGAGAAAAGGAAGAAACTTGTGTTGCCCTGCTTACCTCACTAACTCCCTTTGTTGAAAGTAGGGATGAATCTCCATCTGTACCACATCCGGCTGAGATCAAAGACGTCAGGAGGTAAACATCAGCAGAAGAAGAGATTCAAAAAACAGGAACTTGAGCAGAGAGAAGAGAGCAGACAGAGTAGAGTAGAGTCGAGTCGAGTAGAGTCGAGTAGAGCAGAGCAGAGTGGAGTGGAGTCGCAGAGTGGAGATAAATGAGTTTGAAAAGTTGTGCAAAAGCAAAGGAGGAGGAGGAGAGCACTTCAACCTTGATTCGACAACTTGCTAACAGTTCTTTCATGTGTCTCCTGACATAGTTTGACACCCCGATGTGTTTGACCTGCCGCCTTCCTGTCATCGCATGCCTTTCAGCCCAATGAAATCACCTTCCCCGCCATCTTCAGATCCTCCAGGGCCCTCCATGTTTCACTCCTCAACCTGACGGAGCAACTGGTCAGGGCGGCATCTTCCAGCAGGGGCCCAGCACTTCTTGTTCTTCGCGGGGCTCTGAAGCGTATCGATGGTTCCCGGGAAGTGGATGAGCATCAGCTCGAGTGAGTCGTCGACATTGAGGTTTGAGCAGGACAAGCCGAACGCCTTCTTTGTCTTGATACAGCATCATGCATGTTAGCTCCGACAAGGTCGTCATGTGAAGACAAAGGTCTCATCTCGATTCACGGATCAGCTACATCGTATCGCATCAAGACAGACAGGAAAGAAAACAACCTGGTCGTAGCCCATGTCATCAAACCATATCTGAGGCGCAAGTCACTGCCATCACACCAGTCAAGCGATCTCCCACGAGTCACCTTGGAGCAAACTTTGACGTCGCTCTTCTGGAGGAGTTTAGAAGCCACCTGCCGCGAGCATGCGACGATAGGGTCGCAGTCAATCGGCGATCTCAGACCCACAGCCCTCACCGCCTCATCGATCGCCTCTCCGATGGATCGCTCCTACCACCAGGCTCAGTCGGGGCCAGTAGCCTCCTCGCTCACGTTGTTGTAGTGAGCAGCTGTGTCGACGAAGCGATACCCGACTCTCAACGCATCCAGCACTTGGCGCTTCGTCTGATCAAACGGACTCACTCGCTGCGATAAATCGAAGAGTCTCCACGAAACTCGAGCTCGAGTGCTCAACGGCACAGAGCTCTCAGGCAACAAGCAAGAGGACCCACTGCATCACAAATCTTGTTGTTCTCGTCGGGGTCAGAAGATGTTGGGAGCTGAAGCAGAGAAGAAATGGACTCAGTCCAATGAGGGAAATTGAGGAGAGCGATACAGTCAGATCAAGGGACAAGTAGCGAAGAATGTTTACCTCGCACGGGCAACATGTTCCCAGCCCAACTTGAAGGGCAAGACCGCTGTCCTCCTTGGAGATCGCAGGAATCGCTTGAAACAGCCACAGCAGGCCGAGGTAGAATACTTGCTTCCTAGTCAGTGTGGGAGGAGTCGGATGAGAGAGAGACTTCGCCATCCCTGCCATTGTCCAACCTTAGAGAAGCAGCACAGGAACAGCAAAAAGAAAAATATTTTGACCGGTCGAGACTCGCTGGCGAGTGGGCAAGTGTGGTTGAAAGGATAAATGGGGGGAGAACGCAGTTCTCGGCAGGAAGGCAGGTTGTAGCATTCTTCCTGGGCCACAAGGTCATCATTGTCTTGGCAACGATCTCCTTTCACTCCTTCACTTCTCTCTTCACCTCGAGCGTCTGCTCTTGTCTCTTGTCCTTCGTTGTCCTCTCTACTTTGATGCCAACCCTCTTTTTAATTTACGCCTGCTCAATTTTGAAAAGGCGTGTAGCAGACAGCGTGTAGTTGTGGCGAGTTTGAATCTTGATTGGCGGCCCGCCGGGCCCGGGAGCCCGCACTACGTCGCAAACAAAATAAAATGAGTTATATCTAAGTCATTATGGTACAGATTTATTTATAGAAGTTTATGTATGTACGAAGCAATTGAAGGATTGTGGTTCTGACAATTTTTTCCTCATTTTATATATTGTACCACATTTATATAATGATTTTTCGAACACATGTAAAAAGGTACTGCAATATATAAGTTACTTTATAAATATCTACGACATCACTCTCTATTACTTATACAAAAGCCTTGGGGTCCTTTTAAGTTCTAAATCCGGAAACCCGCGGTACCCGCAATGGTGAGCAAAACAATCCAATGTTACTCTCCCTTACGCCCTAGCGCTTCATCCCGACTCTCTGATTGTATGTCAAGCCTGAAATATGATTGGAAAGATTGATATTCCTTCATGACGTTGATTGCTTGCCCCGCACATCCCCTTCCCAGAGCTAATTTGCTTTCAATGCTGTTACATTCGGGCAGCAATTTCCCTTTGCACGAAGTGATTATGATGATGCATTTTGTAATTCAGTTTTCTTCTGATGTTTTTGAAGCCTTGTTATTGTAATGCGAACAATTCAATTCTTACTTTTTGCATTGCTGTCTGTCATCTGGTGTGGCTATTTCTCATCTTTATTTGGGGCCATCTGCTTTTGCATTTCACTCGAGAATCTGGTTCTTTGTAAGCGATGAACTTCCATGTTGATGATATCTCCATTGGTTTATGTCACGTCTTGCATGCGTTTGATATTTATATGCCAACCTTGCCTTGTTCATTTCGTTCGAGGCTTGCTTGTTTGATAGTATTTGACGTTTCGTCTAGATCGCAAAATTCCTTCCCGATAGCAACAAGGAGCAGTCCGATTACAGGAAGCAGCGCTTCCAGATGCTCTTTGGTGGCATTGATGCTGTTGCAAATGCCGCTGGATCTGGTGATTCTTCGGACCCCATCGCTGCGGCGTTGGCTGCTCACGGTGAAAGATTGAAAGATTATTTGTGCTTCCCATGTTAATTTGGGATGCAGGAGATTCTCAGAGGAACAAGAAGAAATCCATCAACTCGACCAATTTCTTCTCCACCAACTCGCATTGGATGTAAAATTGATCACATCTGTACATGCAGATAGTGGAAACGTTAGACGGAAGCAAGCGACTGTCCTCAAAGCAGCAACAGGGGCTTACAATGTTATGAAGTGAATCTTTTTACCCGACATTGTTTCAACCTTTTGACACAATTATATCACAATTTTTTCCATTAATATTCCAAATATTTATTCATACATTCAATCGCAGCCATCTAAAATACTTCTGCTGCATTTCGTAACATGGTTCTTGGTGTCAAAATGTCATCCAAGACCTTGACAGCACAACCATGGCTTGTCCTGACCCATTTTTTACCTATTCCAGGTAAGTATCTTCTACAGGCCTGAGGACTCCAAGTTGACACTTCGTGTTCCTTTGCATCATCGTCAACTGAGTCTTCCGCAGCAACCTTGCGCTGGGTCACTTCCGTTTGCTGCTCCATGAGTTTGGGGCTGATCAGCTTCTTGCTGGAGCCACGCACAATCAAATTCTTTGCTTCGGTTGACTTCTTCTTGAAAGAGTTCTGTGCAAGGAACTGCTCAATTTTCATCTTTTCTGTCTTGGATACAAACGTGGTTGCTCTCTTCAACTTAAAACTTGAGTTGTTGCCCTCCGAAGGATTTTGTCTGTTTCGCATTGAAGCAAGAATTACTTGGTCATCTGTTTTTACATTTCCTTCTTCATCAATAATATCGTCGGAGCACAACCGCATGGAAGGTTGTCTAGCAACAAAAGCATTCTTTGATAACAGCCTGTGCGATCCAGATCTAGCCAGCTTGGAAGAAGGAGAGTTAGAGCTATGAAGCCTCCAGCCAGCTGCGTCTCCCTTTCGTGAAGGCCATCTGGGGAGCTTTAGCTGCTTTCAAGTCAGAGGCCCTAAGGGAGATGCAGACATCTTACCCCACGACCAGGACTCAACAGCTTTCTGGAGGAAGACATCTTGAGCCATCCTCGTCTGATGTTGACTGATTGTATTTCTTCATGCGCTTGCTCGAGAACTGCCCGGGCCTTCAAAACTTCTTCGTTGGCGCTGTCTATTTGATTCCTCATTGCCTGGACTTGCGAAGAGAGGCTGAAAGCCTGTGACAATATAAGATACTGCAAATGCATGGAAAATGATATCCACCATAGCCATCTGAATCTTTCTCGCAGCCTTCTGCATTCTTGTCCTTGCCAGAAGGGATGAAGTATTTTTTTGTGAAGACGCGGGTCTTTTAAGCTCTTCTTTTGTTGGCGCCTTGATATCAGACATCTCCTGCTGAAAAAAAGAGATCAGTAAGCACGAAGGTCAAATGTGTGGTACATATGATCTATCAAAAGCGTAGGCTTACCAGAGTCGCAATATCTGCAGGGAGAGAAAGTCGTTTTGACAACGATGTCTTGGCTCTGCTCGCCGACTCTGTTCTGGCGAGGCTAATCGACTTGCGGCTTGTCGGAGAGGAGTGTTTGTTGGGAATTGCAGCAATGGAGACCTTGCGAGTCTTGGGGCTTTGAATCAAGTGAGACTTCGTTTTGATTGACGGCCTTCGCGTGACTTCCTCAACAGAATGAATTGTAAGCCTCCGTGACTTCTGTGAGGTTCGCTTTGGAATTGCATTTTCAGTTGACATTCGTCTACTCAAGTTTCGACCATTCAATGCAGATGAAGTCGAAATCGGTTCAACGTCGAGGGGAGGAGGATGTTTGTTGCGCATGTTCTAGTTTCCTCTCAAGAGGTGTCAAAGATCCGTGAAAGTTGTTTTGGAGGAGATAAGCTTGACAGCGAGGAAAGAAGAGGAAAAGAGTGGATGGGGAGGATGGGGGAGTGATGACGGAGGGAGGGGTGATGATGATGACTAGCAGAGTCGAAGGGTGCAGTCGTACTCAACGGGGGTAAAATTGATCGGGTGCTTTTAGAGGAGAATGGTGGGGTACTGAAGGGGGTGGTAGCTTGAGTATATTGATGATGAATTGCGATTTCGTACTGCTTCACATACTCGCCCGAGATTCTGAATGAAAAATTCTATAAATGCAACGTCTCACTTGTTGTATTTTTATATTCACTATTTTGGGTTTACTCCATAAGAGTCCAACGAGTGGATAAACGGTCGAAACCTATTCTTTTCGTCCATCATCCAGTCAGCAGTCAATGGTCCGGGACCGGGTAGACCCCCACCATCTTATTCATTGCACGGTACCCCCTGATTCCCTGGAAGGGGTCAGGGGGGCCGGTGACGTACCAGACAACTTAAAAAAGCCCATGACTCGAACTTTCATTTCATCACTAGATCATCACCCGGGGCCCGGAGGCTCACAGCCGGCCGCTGCCACGGTGATCGGACAGAGATCGGCTCGAGTTACGGCGCAGTACTAAAGACATCCGATACGGTCTTAAATTTAAGTTTGCGCGGCCACTGACACTGTGCGACAGTGTCAGGGTCAAGCCTCCAAGCCTCCCAGTCGTCTCTCCTGATTGTCCTCGTACTGATGAAAGTTTTAACTTAACTTTGAGTAAATGAGAGTACACGGTCTTCGGCTGAGTAAAGGCTTTACTCAGTATTTTACTCAAAGTTACCGTCCGAGGTCACTACTGTGAGTGACTCGGACTAACTGAAGTTCGGAACTTCTTGGTCGGACGGTACTACGGTAGCCAGAGTCACCGTGGCGGCCGAGCCTGACCGTACTCCGAGTGACCCGGCGGCTCCCGGCCAACCGTCCTTTGGGCTTCCGAAGTTCGCTGCCGCATCTCTTTAAACCCGGCGGGCCCACGCGGCGGCCGGATCGGACAGGTCAGCCTGTGCCACCGGCCCGGAACGTCGACTCCGCTCCGAGGCTCCGCGGAGTACCGTGCGCGGCGTCAGTGACTCCGATCCGAGTCATCAGTCCGTCACCCGACACGGTACGGCGAGTCACCCACTGCGGCTTGAACAGCCTGAGCCTCCGACCTCGGACCGCCCGGGCCGTAAACCCAGTCCGGCGGATCGGATCGTACTGACTAGCAACTCAGTGAACTTCCGGTTAAATGACCCCTCAGGGGGCCATAAAGGAGGCTCCTTTACTCAAAGTTAAGTTAAAGATCAGTACGAGGACAATCAGGAGAGTAATAATAATACCTTCTAACCAGTAATAATGATTATACAAAAATAATCGGCTGGCCCGCTTCAAGACAATTTTTGAATCGGCGTGATGGCGACGTTCCTCCATGAGCTCTCTTCCTTTGCCATGGCAGTAGACGAAGACAGAGCAGAACTGAAGGTGAGGAGGATAATCTTCACTGCATCAATCGTTCCCCTGCTCCCACCATGATTTTCCCTCTCCTCCTCGTCTACCAAATCATTATGCTGTTGTTCAAACAATCATCTAGCATTCAAGATTATCGAGCATGCATTCATACTTTCTTCTAGCATCACTGCAGTCACCATGCAATATGGTTGTCATCATCACTGTTGGTTTTTGCCGTCATGTTCATCTTCGCAATATCAGAGATCACAGGGTCTTTTTGTACTCATCCTCATTATGTTGCTCCTGCTTCTTCCTTTATCATAATTTACGGAATCATCAAACCATCGTCGCTGATGTGGCGATCCTTGCTCGAACCCTCATTCAAATCGCAATGTTCTCACTGATAAGCTGGGTTATGATATCAGACTCTATCGGCTGACATTTTCGTTGACTCCTCGAGTCACTACCGTCTCTGAACCTTCCTTCCTACTGAAACACATGGCAGGCCGCCTTGCAGCATCCTCCGGCTTCCTCAGGGGCGGTGGCGTCAAGGATCCCTTTCCTGGAGGACATGAAAGTATTCTTGCTGGTCTTGTTTTCTCATCTCAATCAACGCAGGATGATGTTCACAGCACAAGAGATCAAATCAGTCGACTTCTGCATTCTTTGCACTCTCCTACTTTGCATGTGTGAAATCCTCTTACACGTATTTCAGCAGTGACCATCTCTCCAGGAGATCTGTAAGGTATACAAAGGCATGAGTGCAGAAAACCAGAAGCTCATCGACTGTCTCGAGTGCCAACTTGAGTCCGACCCTGTGAGTTCGATTCCCTCACCTCGGTAGAGTGACAACATGTGCAGGCCAACGGATATGTCCCATTCAATGCCAAGTGCCTCCACGACATTGATGCAAGCCTTGGTAAGACAGAGGAAGAGGAGAGTATGATGGTGATGTCGAAGAGGAGAGGCGGAGGGGAGGGGAGGGAGAGGGGTGGAAAGACCAGTCGTCTCACATGTTGGCAGATTGTATGCAGGACAAAAGCAAGCTCTCGCTGGTGGAGACCTTGACCCCATGCGTCAAGAAAGCGTCAATTGACGTCAGCGTCGGAGTCAAGTTCGAGTCTCCCGCGCCAGTCCCCGCATACCTGCAGGTCTCGCGTGCTTGCATGTGGCACAGGTTGAGGATGAGCAGGTGGAGCCGAAGACGCCAGACCTCGAGGATTTCGCCATCTCCTCGCTTTCCTTGGGAATTCTCAACGAAGCTGCAAGCAAACATCCCGCTGCCCTGAAGGAGGCGACCCAGGTGACAACAGCCTTATGTTTGAAGTGACTAACAAGAGGAAGGAGATTGAATCGAGTGCCCCCAAGTCCCAACCTGGTTCAGGTTAATCGAATCTCATGCTGTCTGACTGCATGCGAACAGATGAAAACAGTTCTCCAAACTTCAATTTCTCTCCTCTGCATGGAAAGTATGAATTCCTTAAAGCAGCCAAGAAATCCCCGGAAAAGATCCCATTCCATCTTCCTGGTAGATTTACATCTTATGAGTTGTGAGACATCGAAGATGGATCTGCAGAATGCGAGGCAGAAGCTCTGTCCAACCCACCTGCTCCTCCCGCAGAGCTGCCAGCTCAGCAAGAGGAGGCCTCCTCCTTACAGATCACCTCAAGATCCAAAGTACTCAAGGCGCCTGCCGAAGAGGCTCGAGGAGAAAGCATGTTCCCTCTTATGGCTGAGGTAAAGTCATCTCCTCCTGGACCCATAAGGGTTTGATCTGGCCCTTCAGGTATCGGGGGAGGACTTTGCTGCTGTTCCCGATTATCTTCGGCACCAAATCAGGTTGATCCCTCTGCTTTCTTCTCTCTGGTTGAACCCTCCCAGCTGCGACGAACTGAACACTACCATCAAGAAGATAAACGAGTTCGTAACGGACAAGCGGTCAGCTTCTTGCACGCGCTCCAGTACTCTGATGCTATGGTATTGCAGATTCGAACAAGACATGGCGGGAGGGTCAGACGCGCTCACGATAGAAGAGATGCAGGTATGCGCGATCTCCTGCTGTTGTTTGTTCACCTGGCGTGCTTGCAGCAAAAAATCAAACTTGGAGTGAAGACCAAGGCGTTTGTCCTTCTTCTCATGAGCCTCTCGCGCATCAAGGTTAGCGACTGATCCCTCTTGTCTCTTGTGCTGCTTTAATTTAATCGATTTGTGCCAGACGGTCAAGGCAAAGACCGGAATCGCTTACACCATCGTCTCTCAATGACGCACCAGAAGATGAGATGTCTACAGGGACGTGTTGACTAACATTTCTTGGCTGATAATCATATCTGCCGGTTGAATATTCTACAAGACTTTCACAACGAAAAAATTAAGAGATTTGAGATGCCACTGATCTAGGAGTTCGTAGACATATCCAATCAATGGGCTCATCGAGCATCACCGTTTTGAGGCTGAAGAGTACATGAATAAGTATCAGAGCAAATTCGCTTGGAGTGCGTTGGCTGTTTTACTCTCTCGCGCAAAGTACACTTATTCCTTGAGCTCTCCAGACTTGGCGATCTTGACCTGAACATGATGAGGTCAGGCGGCTGAAACTTAACTGCAGCTGATAGACACCTCCTTCTCTGGCTTGTCACGGCCGTCAGTCTTGGAGTTCTCGATCTTATGAACGAGGTCCATACCCTCAAGAACCTCTCCGAAAACAACCTGATTCACAATCAAATTCAGTTTCTCAAGATTCCGAGCTCCAGCTGCTGTCGTACATGCTTGCCATCGAGCCAGGGCGTGGGCACGGTGGTGATAAAGAACTGAGAAGTGTCAAATGCGCAAACGAATCTCCGCAAATGACAACCTGCGAGCCATTGGTGTCCTTGCCAGCATTGGCCATGGAGAGCAATCCTCCCTTGGTGTGCTTGAACTTGAAGTTCTCATCCGCAAACCTCTCTCCGTAGATGCTCTTTCCGCCGGTACCGTCTCCACGAGTAAAGTCTCCACCCTGTTGTTGGTAAGCAAAGGTGTACATCTCAGGACAAAGTGGATATTGAAGGACCTGGATCATGAAGTTCTTGATCACACGATGGAAGATAGATCCCTCGTAACCGAATCCCTTCTCGCCAGTAGACAAGGCGCGGAAGTTTTCTGCAGTCTGTGGGACACTCTTGCCATAGAGCCCCATCACGATGCGGCCTAGATAAATGCAGTCAGGACAACTGAGGGTCGAGATCAATTCTGCAGCCTCACCGGCGTCCTTGCCATCAATGGTGATGTCAAAGAAGACCTTGGTAGTGACCTTGGGACCCTTCTTCTTGGCCTCAGCTCCGACAGTAGCAAGAACCAACAGAGCAGCAACAGTAGCGAGCTTCAACGATCGAATCATACTGCAGGACGAGATCAGAGAGATGGCAACATCTGCAAAGAATGACAGACTTGTCCTTCATGACAAGATAGTTTATCAGTCCGTATTCTTCCTAGCTAAACTAATTCCTTTGACAATGAAAATATGATTCTAGCGATGTTCTACAACCCCGAGTGTCATAATCGTCGACCTTGTATCCTCCCCCCACCCCCTCAAAGACCCTATCTGCCTCTGTCTCGTCCTGTCCTTATCTCGAGAGCCTGTGTCATCCAGCTTCTACTTCTTTGTCCTCCTCTGACACCATCCTCGGCGAAGAATCTTGCCATGTATTCCGTTATTTCTGACGTGTCCACCGGTTACATCTCTGCGCGGGCGGCCGGCGGCGGGGGGCCCGGGCCGGGCGGCCGGGCGCCCGGCGCCCCCTCGCGAGCCTCGAGTCAGGCTCCGCTCGCCGCGCCCTCGGAGTACGGTCCGGGCGCGCAACTTTGAGTAAATGTGCCACAATGTCACCGCGGCCCGGGGCCGATCCGTGACGGTGACCGCCGTGTACCGTACGGTGTCCGCCCGGGCCGGCCGGCGGGCCGCACTGCCGCCGGCCGGGCGGCCCGGGCCCCGGGCCCGCCGGGCAAA